TTTTTTTTTTTTTTTCCAAGTGTTACCAATGTAGTACTCTATGTACAAAAGAGCGTTTATAGTAATTGGAAGTGAATCCGTGAGCGTCCCTCGATTTTCCTTTTAGTGTTGTACGAATTGTTCCAGCAGAAGTAAAACGGGAAGAGCGTAGAAAACTGTCCCGAACCACGAGATGAGCATCCATAGGAGAACGGGGCGGGGATGACAGAGGGAAACAGGGAGAGACGGCGTTAATCGATGACAGTGAAGAAAACGAAGGAACGAAGAACACAGAGATATCGCTGCCAGCCTTGTATAGTCACTTTTCTAGCAATTAAAAAAATAGGAATATCGTGTGCCGGGAGAGGCGAATACAGTGAGACGTTTTTCTTTTCCATCCTGACGTTGATCGTTGCACGTAAATACACTTCGCGCGCATTAAGATACCGCCTTCTAGACTCGATTTAAATTTTTTAGTAGGACGTGAAATACACATGAACAGAATTTTAAATACTTCGGATAGATTTCGAGAGTGCTGTCAAACGAAACAATGATATGAAATTTTTTATCTGATAATATTTTATTTATATATAAATAAATATTTTATCTGATATATTCATTTCTCTTATCATGTCGAATTTTCTATCCAGAATAGAGTTCCAGATTTGACAAAGTAATCCCGCCAAAGTAACCATACACGAAAAAGTCGGTGTATATCAAACATTTATTTGTATTCACCGCTATTTCGTCCAACGGATGAAGTAACGAATCGCGACGAAGTAAAAAGTTACCGAACGCAGTGTAAATATCGGAGGTAATCTTGTTTTAAAGATGGCGGTATAAAAAAAAACCGGTTAAACGTGTCCTACGATTATTGCAGCGCGTACGCACGGATATTTAAGTTATTTACAATCGACACGCATGACACGCAGCCACGTCTTGCACGCGTACCGCACGCATCGAAATCGCCGCTTTGTCGCACTTACATTTACGACGATCACTCGATATGCGTGTATTCGACGAACTCCTCGTCCTGATTCATCCATCCATCCATCCATCCATCTATCCTGGTTGAATGCCTTTTACTTTATAACCGGATATTACTCTCTCCCGCGCGCCGTACTCTTGTCGTTCGTATCGCATCGATCGTCGCGCGTGCCGCGTGCCGTTACCTCGTCTTTTGCCTCTCACTCGAAACCTCTTCGTGATTTCGGACGGACGGGGAAACGTGCTAGGTATCATTGTAAAAATTGGAAATAAAGTTGTTTTTCGTGACATAATGTGTCCTGTTAATTGATCTAACGAAAACTCAATATGTAACAATATTATATTTCATCATTTTGTTCCTTTCAGACGACTAATTATTGCATTCTTAGAAAAATATATGGAATATTTCAAATATTTTTCGAAAAACATTGTCTTTATTTCAGAAAGATATTTTAGTTTCTTTTTTAAACAGATTCTTTGAATTTTTCTTCAGTAAAGAAAAGCGATATTATTCTTTTGAAATAGCGAACGTGAATAAGAATAAAAGATGAGTATGCTGGACATTCGATTGTAGAAAATTCATGGAAAGTCTTGAAATAACGACGCTATCGTTTGTGAATCAAACGTTGTTGGCCGTTATTAATTAGTCGTCTGGCGTTTGAAATAGGTCATGTACTTACGACGGTCTGTAGAAATATCTTCTTGGAGTTAGAAACGAATCCGAAGACAATGGACAATTTGCTCTCTATATTATTCAATTTTTGTTGAGTAATAATGTTGAAAATAAATAATAAACATTATTAAGAATCTTTATTTTAGACCGCATATATGAGAAAACACAATCAATACTAGAAATTTAAAATGCCTGTTATGGTCGAAGCTGTGGATCTTTATTGCTTTAAATAATTCAATCTTGAATTACTAATATACACTTGCATATGTACCATATTGTAATCTTTTCGAACTGCGCGCCGAATTGTTTTTCCGCACTATAAACGCAATTAAAACTACTCTCTCTATTAATCGCGAATTAAATTGACAAACAATATAAATAATAAAATTTATTTCTTTTACTTTTTCAGCTATCTTACAAATCACGCATTGATTTAGAATTAAAAATTCTTATTTATTTACGATAAAAATTAATGTATATAATTTTTAGCATAGAATATGTCAAAGTATAATGTGATAATTTATTTTAACTGCTAATTTAGATTGAGTATTTTTTATCATTAGCAACCATAATTATATTTACAGGTAAGTATGTATTTAATTTTCTTCAACAAAATACGTTTAACAATTAGCTATTAATTACCGAGGAAATAAACGTTAATTAACAACAGTAATAATATTCCGAATTCTGCGTTGGCAAAACTTCTTGTTGCTCGGAATGCTCAGGATTTCGTGAGCCACGAGCCACCGCCTGTTTTCATCGCGAAGTATTCAGCATGTCTGCAATGTGTTTAGAGCATTAAATAATTCTAGCGAGAGATCGGTGACCGAATGAGCACGGTTAATTGCATTAACTAACGACGCTAATGGTACACTTGGAGGCTCGGGGGTTTCGTTACACAATGTGTCAGAGTGAAACAAGGTGGAAACTGTGATACGGGTGTGTGTACTGAATACAGAGTAAGCACAAAAAACGTAATCAGTGGAACTAATTTGTATTTAGTATTCGTTAGGGATTGTTTTTTAATCTAAATTCAAATTTAAATTAAAATAGAAATTTTCATTAATGGAAATTATATACAATAACTGCAAAAAGTTTCCAGTCAACATATAATTTTATTTAGATAGTTATAATTTTATTTAGATAGTTTCTGTCAATCTGTTTTTTAGTTTATATTGTAAGTTAATAACACTCTTGTTATAATCAACTTATGAACACGATATTTTAAATATTAGAATATAGTAAGTAGGTATTTGTAGATTTTTATTTGCATAAAGATTCTTTATTAAAATAATATAATAAAATTACTCATGACCGAAAAAATTTGGCAGCCACTATATATAAGAGGAAAAGCATGTTAATAAAAAAATCACACGTGTTTCCTCTGTGCATCATATATAATAAAAACTATACACATCAATTTCCTTTCCCTTGCAAATGCATAACAATTAGCTTACAAACGTGATTTGTTCGCGTTGGGGTATTATTCGCGAATTTAGAAAGACTTGATATGCCTTTGGGTACTTGTCTATCCCTACGGTATAATATAGAACTACCGCGAACGATGTATTTTCATGTAAAACATCGCTTTACGTTGTTTTGTGGCGACAAATAAAGATCCCGAGGGGTCGGATAAAATACTGCGGCGCGCGTAAAGACGGCAAGGGGCAGCGCTAATTGACGACGTTAATGACACTCGCAGCCTGTGCTCTACTTTAATCTAATAACGGGAGTCCGCCCTGTAAAAGATAATCATCCCGCTTGTCCCTCGGGCAACGCCAATCTGTCGCGGCCATGGAAAAAGTTTATACCCACAAAGCGGCGCGGTCGAATGCGGACATTTCACCGCGCGACAAAGCAGCTCAATTAAAGACACTGCGCTGTGCTTTCGCAAGTAAAATTTATTCGACATACAGAATCGTGATTTACATAGATTCGTGTGTTGTATGAATTTTATTCAATTTAATAAATTGTCTATAGATAAAACTTCTATGATTCGGAATCAATGACAGTTGGATAAATTTGCTAGAAACGAATATAGAAAACTATTTATTACAACAAATACCTGAATGGCTACAAACATCGTAGAATCTTGTATATTTTTACTTTTATTTTCATTTTGCTTTCTAAAAATTGATTCGAGACAGCGCAATGATATCTGGGTGATGTTACTCTCGCTTAATCTCCGATCACAGACAAGATGAACATTGTACTGTCCACGATAGAACCATGATGGAAGGAAACACCGTGGGTAAAACCATGATATCGTCGTTGATGCGTTGACATCGATTTAAAATCAATTTGCCATCCACGTGCTTACGATAACGGTGACGTGAGTTTAATCCGCATCGGATGCTCCCGAGCGACGCACCAAACCACCTACTGTCGTCGCCGACAATTGCATTGACATTCATAACTGGTCGACGTCGATCCAGTCCGAATTAGGGATTCGCCTGGTGACCCGTGATGCTAGGCTACAACGATTGTTTCGAACCGATATGCTTCGTCACGGCCAGAAAATGTCAAAACGTTTGTCAAACGTACCGTTATTTGGTGCGAGGCTGTCGTAAATGTGTACCTTCAGCATTCATTACGCGGCTTAAAACGTATAATCTGTTGAAAAAAAGTCTTCTAAGTTGAGCTTTATCTTTTTGAATTTGTTTCTATTTTTTTTTTTTTTTTTTTTTTTTTATATAAAGTGTAAAGGGCTCCGCACAATAAAAGGAACAGGGAACAGAGAACAGAGAATGAGAATTTCAACCTATCAGAAATCATGTATTGTGGAATACGCAGTTTGTATTCCCACAATACAAATCCTTTTATTGTG